TTATAAATAAATTAATTTAAATTAATTAAATTTTAATTTATAAAAAATTTGAAAAAAGGTATTAATTTTATAAATTTTTTATAAATAAAATTAATATTAATAATTTAAATTTAAATTTTTTTAAATTTGAAAATTTGAAGAAAAAAAATTGTCACCAGCTGGTGAATTGACCAGCACAATTAACCAGCTGAATACCCCAGCTGAATTCAGCTGATGAATTCACAAGCTAAATTCACCAGCTGGTGATACTTATTTTTTTAATTTAAAAAAAATTGAAGTTAATTTGTAAACATTAATTTTATTTATTAAATATTTATTAAATTAATTACTTTTTAGAAATTTTTAAAAATCAAAAATAAATTTTTTTAAATAAATTGAATTTCATTTTTTTAAATTTGAAAAAAAAACATCACCAGATAGGGAATGCAGCTGGAAATTCAGCTGGTTAATTCAGCTTGGTGACAATTATTATTTTAAATTTTTCATATTTAAAAATATTTAAATTTAATTTATTAATATTAATTTTATTTATAGAATATTTATAAAATTATTTCCATTTTTTCAAATTATTAAAAATTAAAATTTAATTATTGTAAATTAATTAAATTGATAAATGAAATTTCAATTTTTAAAAATTAAAAAAAAAACATCACCAGCTGGTGAATTCACCTGCTGGTGACAATTTTTTTTTACAAATTTACAATATTTAAATTTAAATTATTAATATTAATTTAATTTATAAAATATTTATAAAATTAATTCACTTTTTTTCGAATTTTTTAAAAATTTAAATTTAATTATTTAAAATTTATTTTATTTATAGATATAATTAAAATTTAAAAAAAAAAACATCTCCCGCTGGTGAAAAGCAGAGTTGCACGAGCATTAAGAGCGAAATAAATGAAACCTTCTAGCGTCTACGCAAAGTTAAAATATCATCAAAACGTAAAATGCATTACTCAACCAAAAAACACCCGCAAAAAAGAACAATAAAACACTTCTTGAGGCAGCACAAAAGCACAGTAACACGAGCATTAACAGCGAAATAAATGAAGCCAAGCAGCTGTACGAAAAGAAACACACCCACTAACAGCCATATTGAACCATAAACGGGGATACGAACGGAAATAATTGCGAATAATCTACTATTTAACACAAAAAACGCACCGGTGCACAAATGAAACACATTTTGAGGGAGCACAAAGCACACAAACACTGTAACTTCAACATAAAAGTGAAAGGAAGCGGACAATCAGCTGTGAGAAAAACGCCCACTCACAGTCATATGATCGGTATATTGCGTCAGTGGCGTCAGTGTGAGGTTGGCCCTCGTCGTGGCCGGAGGTGTCGGTGTGGTCGTGTGTTAGTGTCCAGAGTCTTCGGATTGGATGCTGTCCAGGGCTTGCCAACATGCAGTGTCCAGGTGAGTGGGTCGCTTCTGGGGGTGGAGGGGGGCATCTGAGGGTCCTGAGGTAGGGTAACCGCTTGCGGATAGTAAATCCGGCTCCAATGATGGACTGAGGGGTGCACCGCAAAGCCCCTTGGCACACAATGACCCTGGTCTCCTGCTACGGCTCGGCGGGTGGTGGATTTCAGGGGGGGTGGAGGGATTGTGGTGGAGGGTGGAGGGTATGCATGTGTGTGAGTGTGTATGTGAGTGTGGATTTTGGAGGTGTAGGGTTTTTTTGGTGGGGTGGTTACTAATAATTTATTTTTACAGATTTTTCAGGATTTCCAGGATGCGCTGTATTGTATATTTAACCATTAACCATGTACTTTTCCCAGTGTGTATTTTCAGGATATCATCGTGGTTGGGGCCCCAAGAAGAAAGAAGATTGAAGAGAGAAGAGCGAAGAGAGAAGATTGAAGAGATCTCTTATTTATATGTATTTGTAAAAAAATCAAATGTATATGTATTTTTGATAATTTGATGACGATGTATTTGTAATCCATGCACTAATTAGGTATCATCACGTTACGAGGTAATTGGGTCGCGGCATCGGGGTTGGATGTCTCAAGGGTACCGTACACCCTGTCAGGTTTCCGGAAGTTGGTAGGGACGCGATTTTCCCGGTCTCTCAGAGTCGGATATCGCGGTGGCCCACAGCCCGGGTTCGAGTCCCGCGCCCCAGCAGGTCACGCGCAGGGTTCATCTCTGGGTCATCGTAAGCCCCCCACCGTTCACTGTTCCCCTAAAATCGGTTGTGCCAGTGTTTATTATGTTTCTTGTTATTTAATGATGATGTATTTGTAATCCATGCACTAATTAGGTATTTTCAGAATATGAGGTAATTGGGTCGCGGCATCGGGGTTGCATGTCTCAAGGGTACCGTACGCCCTGAAAGGTCTCTGGAAGTTGGTAGGGACCCGATTTCGGTCTCGCATATGTAGTAAACACTACTACAGAATTCGGTTATCGTGGTGGCCCACGGCTCGGGTTCGAGCCCCGCGCCCCAGCAGGTGACGCTCAGGGCCTCACCTCTGGGTCATCGTAAACCCCCCCACCGTTCACCGTTCCCCGTTTAATTCGGTTGTGCCAGTGTTAGTGTGTGCGTTTTTTTACGTTTTTTCAGTTTTTTTTTACGAAGAAAGAAGAAAAAAGAAGAAGACAGCTGCTTAAAAGGTATTGTGTTGAGAATTTGTAAGAAATTGTGTTTCAATTTTTGGTTTTTCTATTGTATTTGGGTGGAGGTGTAGTTGTTGTAGGTAGAAATAAAAACTAAAAACAGTTCTTCTGGCCAAAGAACACAAAAAATTTTTCCCTGGTCAGGTCGCGGGCCTTGTCGAGGCGCCAGGGCTCAGTAGCTAGCTGCGTTGGCGGCTAGCGAAGCTAACACGTGACATTTTGAATTCAAACTAATTTCCATTTTTATAAATTTAAAATTCCATTAATCCATATTTGTTTGCTATTGTTAAATTTATTTGCATTTTCCCAGAATTAATTTTTAAAATATTTTATAAACAAAATTAATAATAATAAACTACATTTAAATTTATAAATTTAAATAAAATAATTGTCACCAGATGTATTAACCAGCACAATTCACCAGCTGAATTCACCAGCGGGTTTTTTTTTTATTTTTTTAAATTTTTAAAAATTGAAATTTAATTTAAAATGAAACTAATTTTGATTAATTAAACGTTCATTTATAAAAAATTTGAAAAAATAGGAATAAATTGTTTAAATATTTTATAAATAAAATCAATATAAATAAAAAAAAATTCAATTGTAAAATTGTAAAACATTATTGTCACCAGCTGGTGAATTCAGCTGGTGAATTCACCAGCTCAACTCACCAGCTGGTGATGTTTTTTTTTATCTTTTAAAATATTTAAAAAAAATCGAAATTTCATTCATAAATAAAATTAAATTCAACAAATTAAATTACATTTAAAAAAATTTGAATTAAAAGGAATTAGTTTAATTATTATTTTATAAACAAAACTAATATTAATAAATTATATTTAAACTTTTTCAAATTTTTAAAATTTAAAAAGAATTATTGTCACAAGCTGGTGAATTCACCAGCTTAATTAACCTGCTGGTGATATTTTTTATTTTTAGAAATTGAAATTTAATTGATTAAAAAAAATTTAATTTTAATTTTTAAAAATTTGAAAAAAAGTAATAAATTTAATAAATATTTAATAAATAAAATTAATGCTCATGAATTAACTTTAATTTTTTTTACATTTGACAAGATTAAAAAAAAAATATCACCAACTTGTGAATTCAGTTGGTGAATTCAGCCTGTGAATTGAGATATTAATTTTTTCAAATTTAAAAATAATTCAAATTAATTCATTCATATTAATTTTGTTTATAAAATTATTATAAAATTAATCCCTTTTGTTTCAAATAATTAAAAATTAAAATTTTATTAATATAAATTAATTTTATTTATAAATCAAATTTCAATTTTGAAAATTTTAAAAAATAAAAAAAAAACATCACCACCTTGTGATTACAGATGGGGACAATTATTTTTTTAAAATTTGAAAATTTAAAGAAATTGAAATATAATTTATTTAGATTAAATTTATTTATAAAATTAAAAAAAAATTAATTCCTTTTTTTCTAATTTTTTAAAAATGAAAGTTTATTTAATTTATTAATTTTATTTATTAATTATATTTCAATGTTTAAAAATTTTAAAAAATAAAAAAAACATCACATGCTGGTGAATTGAGCTGGTGGATTGAGCTGGTGAATTCACCAGCTGGTGAATATTTTTTTTTTTAAATATTGAATTCATAAATATTAATATTGATTATAAAATATTAGTAAAACTAATCCAGTTTTTTCAAATTTTTAAAAATGAAATTAAAATTGTTTTATTTATAAGTTAAATTTCAATTTTTAAAAAATTAAAAAAATAAATAAAACATCACTAGCTGGTGAATTAAGCAGGAGAATTTAGCCGGTGAATTCAGCTGGTGACAATTATTTTTTTAAATTTTTTCAAAATAGAAAATATTTAAATTTAATTTATGAATATTAATTTTATTTATGGAATATTTATAAAATTATTTCCTTTTTTCTAATTATTAAAAATTAAAATTTAATTATTGTAAATTAATTTAATTGATAAATGAAATTTCAATTTTTAAAAATTGAAAAAAAAACATCACCAGCTGGTGAATTCACCAGCTGGTGACCATTTTTTTTTTAAATTTACAATTTTCATAAAATTTAAATTTAAATTATTAATATTAATTTTCTTTATAAAATATTTATAAAATTAATTCCTTTTTTTTCAAATTTTTTAAAAATTTAAATTTAATAATTTAAAATTAATTTTATTTATAGATTTAATTTCAATTAAAAAAAAAAAAAACATCACCAGCTGGTGAAAAGCACAGTTGCACGTGCATTAAGAGCGAAATAAATGAAGCCAAGATGCTGCACAATTCTATTTGGTTCATTCGTTTGAAAAATTTGATCTTTGCTCTGCAATGAAATAATGTTTAATGTTTTTAGTATAAATAATTTAATTTACAATCTCATTTCTTCTTTCCCAAATTTTCCGCATCTTTGACCGTGACTGGCAAAGGACGGCCCTTGGTCTCCGGCAGCAAGAACGCCAGACCTCCCGCCACCAAGGCCATGACGCCAAATATCGTCAGTGGCAGATATTTGGAGTACTTAGTCTGCGCACATAAATTATAAAAATGTGCCAAATATTGCATTTTTTTTCATACCAGAAGAGGGGTGAACGGCGCCAGAATGTTGCCCAGGCGTCCAACCATGGAGCACAGTCCGAGCAGGGAGGTCCGCAATTTTGTGGGGAATATTTCTGCGTTGATCATGTAGATGCAGCCGAAGGAGGCGGCGATGGACAGTTTGCCCAAGAGGTACAGCGACAGACGAATTTCCGTGGCATCTTGTCAAAATAAAAAATAATACATTAAATATTTTGCTATAAACTGGGAAAGAAAATTTAATTGCTTTTCTTTCATAATTAAATGTTTTTCATGTTTTTATTTCACTAATTTGAGAATTCTGTTTCAATATTTGAATTATTTTGAGCCATTTAAAGTTTTTTTTTTTAATTTCTGGTTTTTTTGTGGAGTTTAAAATATTATTGACAAGAAACTTGCAAGTAAAATTATGTGTTTGTAGGAAAATGAATACCCTTTTGTATTAAAAATAAGTAAAAATTATAGTTCTATCAACAATTTTAGGAAATAATTTTGAAATTAAAGTTATAAAAATAACCTACTTTCATATTAAAAAAAATACTCGATGTAAAGAGACATGCTTTTTAGACTTTTATCTTAAAATCAATTTTATCAAAACTGATCTAAACTAAAAATTGGGGCTATCTTGACTAGATAATTTTTTCCTTATTTATTATACTTGAATTTTGAAATATAAATGAATAAAAAATAAACCTTCTGGGATGAAAGGGTTGAAGAAACAGGCGAGGCCGCTGATTATAAAAGAGATGCTTAAAGTCTTCTTGCGGCCAATTTTGGACATTCCGAGCCACGATAGGACATTTGCTGGCATGTCTACCACGGCGGAAACTATGTAGTTGACATATTGGTCGTCCGTTCCTGCCAGGTTGATTGAATTCAGGGCCAGGCCATAATAGTTAAATGTGATGACAATCCTAGAAAAATATATAATTATGTCAATTTGGTTTCCAAAACAATGTAGTGTTGGATATTTAAAAATATACGCTTTTATTTTCATAACTTTAATTAAGATCCTCAAAAAACAATGTTTAGATTAATTTTCAACTCAAGAAATTTGATACGTTTTTTCACCAGCAATAAAAACAAATGAAAAGTCTGATGATCAAAATTCGCGAAGTGGCGACTAGTTTAATTGCAGCCCAAAGAGTTTCTTCTTTATCCTCTGAACCTTCAGGCACACCAGTCTAAAAATTAACATTTAAAATGTTACATTTCTCATGAGGCGGAGATCTTAATTTTGTTTGTTTCTTTAAAATTAAAAAATCTCTAATTTGAAATTTCACAAATAAATTTTATCAACCATTGCAAAGAAAAATTCAATTTTGAATTTTAATATTTATTAATTAAATAATTATTTACTTTATATATGTATTTTATCAACTTACATTTTCCCAAAGTTTGAGTTTTTCTGCACTTTCGGGGCTAATCTGAGATTTATTTTTCCGCAGGGCGTTTGTGAAAACCTCTTTGGCATCGCCTCGTCTGCCCTGCGACAGCAGCCATCGGATGGACTCCGGAATCAACCTAAGGTAGGAATAATACGTTTTTGCTTTTTTTTCATTATATATGTTATTGTGAGAGAGACCATATGTAAAAGATGAAGAGAACTGCGGGCGCGTTGATGGTCCACAAAATTTCTCGCCAGTCCCTGAGGGCCCAAGCCATAACTCCGACGAAAATGGTGCCCAGGGAATATGCCCACGCAGCGACCATGTCTCCTAAAATCACGCGTCTCTTCGGGGAAACGAATTCCAACGCTGCGGATATTTAATTTCTTTTTTCAAACATTTAAAATTACCAGATGTAAATTTTTACCCAACACAAAAGCAATTCCGTAGATGCCGCCGCTGAAAAGTGCCTCTAGAAATTCGAAAACGATGAAGAAAACGTAGTCGGGGGCGGCAGATTTGATCAGAGTTAAAACTGCAGAGGCCACTAGAGTCAAAATTAAACTCAGCTTCCTTCCATATCTACAGAGTGAAAAAATTGGAAACATTTTTATCATTTAATCCAATTTTAAGTACAAAAATATCTTGAATCAAAGCAATACACCAAAACTAATTTAAAAAACAATACATTTTAACACATTTTAAATTATTATATTTCTTATTTTAATTACCTAAATGATGTTTGAGAATAATTAAAAAGCAATTTGAACCTACTTATCTGCAATGAATCCGATTATAGGGACACTGAAAAGCACTCCTAGACTGTTGATTGCTCCAACGAGAGACAGTTTCCATTCATTTTCCGAACACATGAGATCAAACTGAAACAAAAGGTTATCAATCAATCATAATAAATTAGTCGCCTATGCGCACAAAAAAAATATATACATTTTGACACAAAAAGTTATGAAGCTATATTAATTTTGGATTTTATTTTGCAAATCTTCAAAATTTACACTAATTTTCAACAAATGCAATAATTTCGCAAACATTTTATTTCACTCAAGGTTTCGTTTAAATAAGCAACAAATATACTAAAGTAATTAACGCAAGATCAATAATTCTCCAGCTTAGTAATTTAACCGTGCAAATCTAATCTTGAAATCAAATAGGAATTATACACGTTGAACTTTCTGGTCGTGAGACTTATTGAATTACATAATACCTCGGTCTGAATGGATCGCTCGGGTCCTTTGAGAACCCAGTCCGAGCACTTGACACTCGTGCTGTCGTCAAAGTCGCATTTCGCAGGCGTGCTGTTCAACGACATGAACTGGAGGCACTTTTCTGGCTCGCCGACTGAGGTGAAGGGCACCGCGTTTTGCAGCCAACTGGGGTTGAAAGGCGACGTCTCGCCCTGGTCTCCACATTCTTCAATGAGACACCTTTAAGAATTAACATAAAATTACACAACAATTCCAAAAAAGTTGAATTAAAACCTGTAAATAGTTAATAAATTTATTATTATAATTTTTTTTTCAATTAATAATTCAAAATATTGCTCAGGAATTAGTTAATTGACGGAGAATTTTTCTTCATTTGAATCAAATTTAAATAAAATGTTAACATCACCTGTGAGGCACTGGAATGGCCGTGAAAATGTAAACAACCGGGCTGGCCGCGCTGTAGAAAAACACAAGACAGAAAAGTGTCCACTGGCCAAGTTGATAGGGACTGAAGTCGCCGATCTCATTGAGCATCACGTCAAAATCAGCACTCGCGCTCATGGTGTCTGCCGATGAGTGGAGAACACCCGATTGTCTGTGGCGCGTGTGGCAATTATCAGCAAAATACTAGATTTTCAAAATCTTGTCTCGGTACTTGGTGCGCGGAAACTGTCTGCGAGATAAGACAACTGATAAAAAAATTTGACTCTGAAATTTCAGACTGTCAAAACACATTTCACTTATAATTATCTGAGTCATGCTAATTCGGTTGTTAAATATTGAGGCGGTAGAATTCAGATATGATAAGGAACTTGCCCTTCAAAATTATAATGTTGAGCACCTAAACCGTGTAATCTTGTTCTAAAATTGTTCCAAAATAGTTTTTGGATTTTTAATTTGATTTAGATCTTGCAGTAATATAGTCATGAACGAATTACTAATTCCCACAAAGCTTTTAAAAAGTATGAATAAACCATTTAAGACTAATAATCAAATAGAAGAAAATGACGGATTTGAAATTAAACTTTTTTTTTAAATAGTTCTGATTTAATTGCAATTTTGAATCTTTCCATTTACGAGTATCTAGGAAACCAAAAAAGCGCGTCTGGTGCTTTTCAGACGTACATTAATCTCAATATTCTTTAATAAAAGAGTTTTTGAAACGTTATTGATAATAAATGTAAAGATCTGCCTTGGAGTTGTGGTTTCTAGAAAAGCTTATATTAAACAATAAACAACTCACAAAAGCCCATCGAGGAAAAGCCGATTTTAAATTCAAATCACCACTCTTTACGAAGGTTTGTCTTTTGTCTTTAGACAGAGAGCATCTAGAATTAATTGAGTAATTGTTTGTGGAAACTTTGTATTTATTTATAAAATTGTGACATTTTTGGCAAAAACTTGAATGAAAAAAAAGTTGAATTAAAATTTTATTTATAATTATTTATAAAGATTATTGAGATTTATTTACACAAATGAACATTGAACACAGGATTTACCTTTTAAAGCAGTTCAAATTTGCTGATTTTTTTTATCAAAAAATCTTGCGGACTTGTAAAATCCTATCCTGCATATTTTTTTAACAAAATTTACCTATAAGAAAATCAAATCTTCTTCGAGTCAAATTGATCTAATTAGGTGGACAGGTTTGTCACTTCTTAAATAGATTTTAAATTTATTATTATTTTTTATGATTGCAGTGCTTAGTTATTAGTTATTTCTAGAAAATCCAAGAATATTTTGCTCGTAAATTAAACAGAACAATATAAACATTTCTATTCACATTTCCGACAGCAAAATCCAAACAATAATTTAATTTTTTCTTCCCTCTAACCAATTTCTACGTCGAGCACCATAAAAGAAGCAGAAGAATGCCAAACAAAGGCACAAAGCAGCAGCTGCGTTCGCGAAAACGGCGCTAATTACGCCTGCTCGCACAATTAGCAGGTCGTCAGCAGCCGAATGTGTACACACAAGAGAGAAGAAATGCGCCGTCGCGAAGGAGCTGCAATTAGAATTATCGCTTATTCATTGCCTCTCGCGTACCTCGTCGGCAACGAGTGAGCTTTTTTTTTGTTTTCTCTATTATGCATTGAAATAGAGGACGCATGGAGTACCTTTCTTTGTGTGCTGCATGAAAAATGCTTGCTTGCTGTGTCGGAAATAATTATTCCAATCAGCCTGTGCGGAGGAGGAAAAATGAAATTACCCCCTGGCTGGCTCGCTTTGCACATCAAGTGTCCAATTAGCGGAACGGTCGGCGCCGCACAAAGAGTGCATTTAGCTATGGTGGGGTGAACTGTGCAGGTCCAGGAGGCATGTCAGGAAAAGTCGAAAGAGACACATTTTCTGACGCTCGTTTAATTTTTATTTTATGAAGTGTTTTTTTTTTTATATATATTAAAAATACCTAATATTTTAATGGACATCGGATTCTAGTTAACCAAATCATTTCATTTGCTTTCAACGGTGTTTCCTTTATTACATTCTTCCTAAAAATTAAGTGCAGTCATTTTCAAAATGTATTTTATTACATTTTGTACTGGAAATACTCTCTTATTTATTTAACAATAAGGCAAAAATTTAATCATTGGATTGGGTGGGGTCTTTTTGATATTGGAGGTTTTAGCAAAGTCCTTCCAAGTGGTAATGCTTTTTTGTAACAATTTAATTCAAATGTTTCCTTTCCGCAACAGTCCTTTTTCTTTCATATTTTAAAATACTTGGACGAATAAACAAAATTACTAATTGCTGGAGTCTTTGAACTACATTTTTTTTTGTAGATTTTCAAATTTATACAAACAAATTGGCTAGAATATTTTAACAGAAAGATTTATTTAAATATTTTACATTTTCAAACTGAAAAAAGTAATTTTTTTGGTATTACTTGAAATATAAAATTTATAGGTTTGTGTTTCATCACAGTAAAATAAATGATATGTTATGCATTAATTTCGTCTTCTCTTTGGTACATGAATGGCCCAGTTTCGCAGTTGGAGTTCCTTTTCGCACGGGCGAGCCGCTTTTCAAATTTCATCCCTCGGTGGTGCATCGAGCCAGCCTTTGCGCCTGCTGCCGCGTGGGTGTTTTGTTTCGAACAATGAGGCACATTTTATAAAATAAAATTAATCGCTGCTGGCCTGGCGAGGAGCAGCTGGCCCCGTTGCCTCCTGCTGCACGTGCACAATGCGCGTTTTATTCAAATTCGGGGTCTCTTTTGTGTGCAATTAAGCCAATTCCGGCCGCGTACGTGATGCTGGGCGCGGGTTTTCGGCTGCGGCGGCGGTTTCTGAAGTTGCATTTCAAGCGTTGTTTCGGGGCGGTGCCGAAAAGGTGTACTTTAGTGCCATGCACTGTGCGTTCAAAGGTTATGAGCGTTTATAATTTATTATATAATTTATTTATAATTTTTATTGAAAAACACGAAATCAAATTTATCAAAAAACATGAAGTATTTAATTAGAATAATTATTAATATTTCTTGTTAAAAATTAAAATTTTTACGTTAAAAATCCTATTTTAACAAATATAATGTGGAATATATTTGCGTAAATTACCTTTGCACTGAAATTTGTCTTTAAACGTAATTTATATTTAAATTCGGGCCCATTTTGGACAATGAGCAATTTCAGCAATTGCTTTTCTTCTTCCTAAAATAAACCTCTCCGTGCTTATTCTCTCTCCAAACTGAACTTTATTATGCGCATTCAGCTCGGGGGGCTTTGTATGTGCAAACAATTTAAAACAAATTGCAAGTCAGTAAACACCCATTTTCATAAACGTACACAGCTTAGAGCGACGTATTGCTGCAGTCGCTCTGAAGTTCCGAGCCAAAAACAATCCGCGAGAGGCAATAACCAGCCAGGGATATTTTCTCTCTCTCGCTGAGAATGATCGCATGCAGTTCTTTCTTCTTCTTTCTTGAGCTTTATTTTTATCGTCAATTTGATTGTGCTTTGTACAAACGAGCGTGCACGGGGTATAAGGCCGGCATTGCATAAAAATAAAAGCGCGGCCGTATTATGGCAATAATTTTCTATCAAAACTTCTTGGGAGCGGCGAGAGAGTAGCCAACTCGTGATCGTACATCCTTATCTTGCAGTCGCATCTGCCACTGCTGGGAAATTTTTCCAGTCGAGATTCCTCGGCCAGGGTAGTGCAAAAATACATTTGAAATCATCGTTACAATTTAGAAAATGAACCAAAATTTCACTGAATAGCTTTCATTTGACCAATTTTCAGATATTTTGATAAAAAGTATGATATCTAAAACAAAATTAATTAATACATTTTTCTTTTTATTTGTTCAATAAATTTGCAGTTAGATGGAATAACGCGTAAACCTAGATGTATAATAAATCGACTTAAAATTTAAGTTCAGGTTCATGAATCACTTAAAATTACCAAAAAGATTAATTTCCACTTAAAATAACTTATTTTGAGAATTTTTAACTTAAATTACCTATTTATAAATTTAGAATTTCTTCTAGAGTTATCAATGTTCAGAAAGAAAAATGCTCACCTCTTTCAGTTGAAAAAAACAATCTTTGGATTGGTGCAAATTTCGCTAAAAATTTGAAAAGAAAAAAATCAAATTTTCTCCCTCGGGTTTTTAATAAAACTTTTAAATTGTATTTACAGATTGAATATAATTTACAATAATTTTTGCACAATTTTATTTTGAATGTTCTTCTTGAATCTTGTAGCATTTTACTGTAAAATGTTTCCTCGTTAACAAATATTTGACAGTTAATTATCTAAAAAATTTCTATCACTTTCTTCCAAAAGGAACTCAGCGGAACTTTCCATGTATTATCTGCTCTCTTTGCTGACGGAACTTCTTCTCTCTCCGTTGAAAGCAAACACGTTGGCGGTCTGCCCTGGCCGCGATTTTCCAGCAGATTATCATAGAGAGGCAGCGAGCGGCGGCGGTAGCAATTTCGCCATTACCCGTGTTCCTTTTATGAGAAGCGAGCGCCGATGGAAGTTTGCCCTATATAAAGTTAATAAAGTGCCGTGACATGAATGTGGATTTGGGCGGGAATGAAGATTGGAAAATCAGCTTACACGCCGGCGGCTGCCGGAGCTTAAGCTGCTGCGCCGCCGAGACGACGATGAGTAAATCGCTTTCTCATATTATTATTTCCTTCCTGCGCGAAACAGCATCCCTCGGAAAACGTGCGTATAAGCGTGGGGAGAGATAATAGACACGACGCACATCCCAAGAAGTGCGAAAACCATTGAATTCTGTAATAGAATAGTCGGGTTAAATTGTCAATTTTCAATTTTTGACAAGTGAATTTAATTAATAAAAAAAATCAACTTTCTTTACCCAATTTTTGCGTTCGAATATTTTTTTTTGTTTCAATTATAGGATGAAAATTATCTCTTTTTATACAGAATAGCAAATTTGGAATCTAATTTTGATAAAAAAAATCGCTGAACACAAGAGTCTAAAATTAGACTTTTAGTCAGTCAATTATTCAAATTCTATAGAAATAAATAACGTAAAATTTTAGAAATAAACACAATAATTATGAATAATTATGATAACAGTTTTCAATATTGAAGCAAAATTATGCGTGAAAATATATTTATTTAAAAGTTCCAACCCTATTTTTTAAAGTTCGTTTTTAACACATAATACATACAAATTTCAAGAAAATAT